AAGTCGGCTCTTTTCACGCGCCCGCAGCGGCAGGTGTCGGCGGGGGCGCTGGAGCGCGTGACCCGCCCCGCGAGTGGGGCTTCAAAGCGTCTTCCAACTTACGGAAGCAGCGAAGGCAAGGACTTGACACGTCCTTTGGGAGGGCTGAGCTCCAAGACCCAGTTCCCGGAGAACGCAAGGGTCTTACTTCTGAGTAGTAGCTAGGCAGAGAACGAGGCAAGGGGAAAGGGGAGGGAAATACCTTTCAAGCCCATTAAAATAGTGGGAGCAACTGCTTTTATAATATATCAATTATTATAAAACCTATATGTTATAAAAACTCATTATTCCCCCCCCCGCCACCAAATCGCTGACTGCAAACCCCTTGAGGCAGAGAACTGTGGAGTTTCTACACCAAACCCCTGTCCATGCAGTATAAAACTTTGCCGTGGGTGCTAATCGCTCTTCATCCAGCATATTATTAGTTTTTCCATGTAAACACACTTCACTTTGCCCACCAGGCCCCGGTTTGCCTCTGCGACGTGTAAACGTGGCGGCGTGACGCTGATCCTTCACACACTGCCGGGGTTTCCTAATCTACAAACCGGCTTCCCCACCACCCACGACCTCCCCTTTCCCTGAATATATTTGCCCATAGCCACACCGAAGTTGGTTGGTGGTAGTTACGTTTCACTCGAATCATAATCTGAATTTGTTTATAAAATCATTTCCGGATGCGGTCTTCAACCCAGTTCGATCTGGAGAGAGGTGTTTTCGCCAGACAAAAGATAAAATATTCCCCCCCACACACACACAAACACACCCCGGAATATGACATCCGTGTCCTCAAACCACACACAGATATTCAAATACACACGAAGGCCATAGAACTCTTTGGGTAAGCAAACAGGAAAGGATGTTACGCAGGTCTTGTTATGTATGTGTTTTATTTTCCTTTCCCCTTTACCTCCAGTGTCTTTCCCTTTCCTTCTGCGTTCTACATTTCAGCAGAAATTGCAGCTACTGCACAGGAAAACCGATTCATCAAATAAAAGAGTTGATCGGTTTTAAACGTTGTTTACTACTACTGTTTTTAACCATTCGAAATAGTTACGTGGGATAGTGCGTGTATTTTAAACCGGACTATTGCAAAAACAGTTTGTGCCAAGGCAATATTTATTTTAAAAATCCTAAAGAAAAATATATAAAATGCAGTCTTCCTGCTTTGGGTCTGCTTAGTATCTGAAACTTCCATTCACAAATAAATATGATCGAACTCTGGAAGATATCCGGGAGGTTTCCAAGGCGCCTTAAACATAGATCAATCAATGCATTTGATTTTGTATCTGTTTCCAAGAGCTTTTACGTTGGAGAGAGGAAAGGGATCGCTTACTAGAAGCAAATTAATTTTCTTCTTTAAATATTTAAATTGGTAGATTGATCTCGTAATGACATATATTCTCGCCTAATGGAGGGGAAACTAAAATCTTAGTTTATGTACTTCGAGGTGTATGTTAGGGATATTATAGGAAAGAGAACGATCTTGGAGCCCCTTAGATTGCCCGTCGCCGGGACTCGAAGACCTGTCACCATCACCAGTACAGCGCTAATCAAATCTTTATACGCTGGATGTGGATTTCGCAGTTTACTCGGGGGAAACTCATACAGGGCGCGCGCGCACAGACACCCTTACAGCCCGGCAAACCCCAGAGGACCTGAAGTAGTAGTCGCTCATCTCTCTCAAGAAGAGAGAAAGGTAAAAACATTTTTAAAATATATATATATATTCAATAAAAGCAGATTCTCCAATGGAGTTTGCCCCGAAATTATAGGCTCCTTTATAACCCGGGCAACGTGGATTAAACCAACTCTGCGGAGCATTTTCCCACATTAAAAAAACAACAATCCGGACATTTTTAACAGGTCGGGGGCAGCACCCCTCTCCTCGTTTCAAAACGCTCCCTGCACAACAAATGTGGGAAAGGTCGCTCATCTGGATCCAGCGGTACAGAGCCGCAACCCGAAGACGCGTCCTCGCTTCCATCCACGCTTTCCATTCATTCTCTCTCAAGTTTCCCCATCGGGACTGGCGTGGGCCATCCGGGCGCCCCCCCCCGGGCTTTTGTGGGGCTCTAGGAAGAAAAAGCAGCCCATCCCAGCACCCAGGAGCAACCGCCCAGCCTCTTGCCGGATCCTCTCTCCCCTCATCCTCCATCTAGGATCCTAAGGCGGTGTTCTCCCCTCCGCCCCGCCGCCGCAGCCCCAGCCCAGCTTCTGCCCTGCCGGTCGCCCACCGCCCTCCCGCCAGCAAC